CAAGGGAACGATGCCCAATCGAAAACAATCGAAATATAGCAAAAATCTCGAAACTAGCAAAACCCGAGCCCCGGGCCCACTTCTCGAAAAATTACAAAACTCACATTACCGGATTCCTCGTCTCGCCATGAGTCCATACATATCAAGTTTACCAAAATCGGAGTTCAAATGCCCTTTCAAATCCCAAATTTTCATTTCAAAAACCAAGCCCTAGTTCTTCCAATTTTTACACAAATTTCCAAGAATTAAAGGTTGATTCTTCAATAAAAATGACGTTTCTAGGTCCGAGACTTACCTCCAATTGATTCCCGTCAAAATCCTCTTCAATCTCTACCAAAAAGCTCTTAAGGTGGTCAACAATGGAGGAAATCATCCCAAGCTCGCGGATGAAATATTGAATAAAAACCCTCCTAAACAGTCCAGTTTTCGCTTCTGCGGTCCCCACGCCTGCTTCCGCGTGACCGCTTCTGCGGTCCTTGTCCGCTTAAGCGGAAATTCATTAAATCACAAGGGTCGCTTCTGCGACACAATTTCTCGCTTCTGCGAAGTCTCACCTCCAAGCCCAAACCGCTTCTGTGACTTCTTGTCCGCTCCTGCGGACTCGCTTAGGCGAAAATACTTCCGCTTCTGCGGAACTGCTCAACCTCATCCTATTCCGCACCCGCGATGCTTTCTCCGCTTCCGTGCAACCGCATCTGCGGTCTCCTTTCCGCAGATGCGGAAATACCTGCTGCAGCCAAGAACCTGCAATTACCAACTTCAAATTTTCTTCCAATGGCCACCCGAAATCACCCCGAGGCCCTCGGGACCTCAACCAAAAGCACCAACATGTCTTAAAACATTATTCAAACTTGCTCCAATCAACGAAACACCTCAACTAACACTAAAATCATTGAATTACATCGGATTCAATCCTAAGTTTCTTAAAAACTTCCGAAATACGCATTTGATCGAAAACCCGCTCAAAACACCTCCGAATGGTCTGAAATTTTGCACACATATCCAAAATCACCTAACAAAGCTACAACAACTCTCGGAATTCCATTCCGACCCTCGGATCAAAATCTTACCTATCAATCGGAACTCGCCGAAATACTAACTTTGCCAATTCATGCCTAATTCTACACCGAACCTCCAAACTCAATTCCGATCACACTCCTAAGTCACAATTCACCTCCCGAAGCTAACCGAATCACCGGAAACCACATCCGAGCCTCCTAACTCATAAGACAACGTCCGGTTGACTTCTCCAACTTAAGCCTTCCTTAAAAAGACTAAGTGTCTCATTTTCTACCAAAACCAATCCAAATCAACTCTAACACGCCAAACACTGATAATGAAACATGAAGAAGCATGAAATGGGGGAAATGAAGCAGTAACACATGAGACGACGGGTCGGGTCGTTACACATGTCTATAGGGTTTAAGGTTCTTAATTATGAAACCTCTTAACTTGTATATTTGTCTTGCATGCATTTGTTGCTTAAGTGTGGAGGCAAACTTGAGCCTTAACTGCCTATATGAAGTCCAATGTATTTTTGTATGTCGCCTAGTTTTGACATTTCTGAGTAGCCTAAGTGAGGTCTAAATCCACCCAAATAGAGGTCCAATACCTTCTAGACCATAGGTATGGGACGGGTAGTGCACGCATAGGGTATGACTTAGAATTGAATTAGAACACTTTTAGGTAACAACTTTAACATAGTAATCGGGTAGCAGAAGATGATAGTGTGTGTCCGCTGAATAATATGAGTAACTCTCTATTCTAAGGGAGTTGCGAAGTATTATTTATATTGCACGGGGTGATCCTTTAGGCTAAAAAACTTAGGATCCCCCCTCCCCCCCTTTTTTTCCTTCTTCATGTGTGGTTATTAGATCTAAATAATTGTATCCCTATATTGGTACTAAGACTTGTACTAACCTTGTTGTAATAAAATTCTTTGACTTCTGAATTCCCTTTATTTATTTGATCACCTAGTTTAAATGTAATCCACATAATCTTATGTTCGGCCGGGACCCACAGTTGTGAACCTCGAAGAGTGCCTAACACCTTCTCTTTGAGATAATTTGAGCCCTTACCCTATCTTTGGTGAGACGAACTAGTTAAAATAGATTTATTTGCAAATAGTTGCCCTAATGCATCTTAAAATCCTTAGGTGACGACTCTCCTCTTTTAAATACCTCCTTAAAAAGAGTTGTCAAACATCAAAACACACATCCGTGAGAAAACGGGGCGCGACAAATAGCCTTACGCCTAGCTCCCCTCTTTCCCCTTTGTGTTCGCGTCGCCTTGGCCGCATTCGCGAAAACTTGTCCTGTTCCTGCATCGCATTCGCGAAGGACAAACCCAGCAGCCCCTAAAATTCCTCTTCGCGAATGCGGGACTTCCTTCGCGTTCGTGAAGAAGGAAACCAGACACCAGCAACATCAGTTCCAAAACAGCTCCGATTGATCCGAGACCACCCCGAAACACACCCGAGGCCCCGTCCAATCACACAAACCAGTCCCATAACATAACATGGACCTGCTCGAGGCCTCAAATCACATCAAAAAACATCAAAATCATGAATCACTCCCCAATTCAAACTTAATAAACTTTAGAACTTCAAACTTCAACATTCGATGCCGAAACCTATCAAATCACGTCCGATTTACCTCAAATTTTACACACAAGTGACATTCGATATTACAGGCCCATTCCAACTTCCAAAATCAAAATCTGACCCCGATATCAAAAGTTCCTCTCCGAGTCAAACATATCAAAAACTTTAAATTTCTAACATTCACCAAATGGCCCCGGAATGACTTATGGACCTCCAAATCCATATCTGGATGCGCTCCTAATACAAGAATCACCATACGGAGCTATTCCCAAACCCGGAATCCCAAACAAATATCGATAATATTGAAATACACTTCATCCCTTATGAAATTATTCCAAAATGCCAACTTACACAATAGGCGCCAAAACGCTCCCGGGTAATCCAAAACCCGATACGGACATATGGTTAAGTCCAAAATCATCATACAGACCTGTTGGGACCTTCAAATCCTGATTCCGAGGTCGTTGTCTAAAAAATCAAACCTTAGTCAATTTTCCCAACTTAAAGCTTCCGAAACGAGAATTTTGTTTTCAAATCAACTCTTCCGAAATTCAATTCCGACCACACGTACAAGTCATAATACCTGAAGTGAAGCTATTCATGGCCTCAAACCGCCAACCGCCATGCTAGAGCTCAAAACGATCGGTCTGGTCGTTACAGTGTAAAAACTTAAGATTCAAAATATTAAGTTGCATTCAAAAGATTGAACTACTTAAGATTTGAATTTCTGAAAGTTGCATTTGAAAGATAGAAGAGCTTCAAATTTGATTTTTGAAGTTGCATCGAAGATATTAAACTACTTCAGATTCAAATTTCTGAAGTTGCATTTGAAAGATAGAGAATTTAAGATTTGATTTCTGAAGTTGCATTGAAGAGATTGAAATACTTAAGATTCGAACGGGTACAGTTTGTGCAATGCGAGTATAACTTCAATGGTGTCCCCAAAAGTAGGTATATATGATAATACCCACTTGTAAACGACCAAAGACCCTAAACTATATTTATTAGTGGCCAGTTTTGTGGCCTTGTATTTAGAAGTTGACAATTTTTTTAAGATAAAGATCCATGATTTGAAAATCAGATTTTAAATTTTGAACTACGGAACATGTGATCACGTTCAATATTTAGACAATTGGTCTAATTATGTAAAAGTGGTCTACATCTAAATACAAGGCGATAAAAGTGATTACTGATATGAGTCATCTGGTACGTCAGCAATACGTAATAGGCCTTCGGACTAACAATTAAAATATATCCATTTGGAGAAAGATACTACTTGCTCTACAAATAATCTTTATCGAATTCAGAAAATATAATTCGTTAAATTTAAGTAGATTTAGATGACGATATGTAATTAAGAAGATGTTATCCTATAATTAAATTCCTCTACTATATAAAGACCACCAAGTCATATCAAACTCTCATTCCTCACCACAAGCAAAAATCTTAAGTAATTATGCAAGAAGAAAGTTGTTCATGATAATGGTTGGCATCAAGAAAAAGAAAACCAATTCTACATGATAGCATGGTTTCTTTTTCTTTTATTCTTTTAACTCAATTGAATCAATGAATCACCATGATGGTATATATTCTTATTCTATCCCCTCCCCCAAGAAAAACAAGACAAATTAATATATATATATATATATATATATATATATATATATATATATATATATATATATATTCATCGTTTTATTATTTTGTATTGCAAACTAAGATCTTCTTATTTTGTTCTCAGGATTTGGAGTTTTAGTGTCTGCGAGGTAATTATCTATTCTAGTTGATTTGTATTGATCTAGGTACATGTAAATATCTGTAAATATTTTTTGTATTTTTGATTCTTTGTTTTGTTGTAATATTTTTTTTTGAAGTGGATATGTTTTACTTAACAAAGTAAATCTCATATTTCAGGTCTGGAAATATATAGCTAGGATAATATAATAAAGGCAACAAGCTCCATCCATATGGATCTGACCCAACGGATGAGAGATTATCCAACGTGATCTTATAATCCTTTTCTTTTGGGACGATCCAGAAGAGAGAACTGAGAGATGGCCCTGAGGGCGACAAATAGAGGTCAAATTGTTACACAGTTTAATCACATAGTTTGATTTCTAAAGACGTTTTGACCGATGATATCCACTTGAACCTCTGATGTTCTTATTAATTACATGTATTTAAAAACAAAGGCTAAGAGATGCATTGGCAAAATGTACCTCTTTTCTATACAAGATTGCTATGAGAATCCTAGTAGTCCATGGAAGAAGTATATTTAGTAGTCCTGTCTTAGGTACCCTTGATCACCTTTATTAAACAATATATGATATTGTAAAATATTTATGTGTCATTGTAAATTAGAAAAAATATTTTTCTACCTTGTAATATCGCGATGAAAATACAATATATGTAATATCATTAGATGCTATGACAATTCTTTGTTGGAAAAATAAATGTTGTCATCAAATAAGGAGTTTCTTATTGCGATATCAATATTCTAGAAGCTCACATTTAAACAAGGGCTTCCTAGAAAAACTTCTTATATGCGGTGTCAAATTATTATAATTAAACGCTTTATTATTAAATATTCATGAAAGCCCTATACTAAAGTTCACCTTGAATGGTAGAGATTAAAGTGAAATAGAGAAATCCAAATAAGAATCCTTGTGAATTGGGGTATCCAAATTCAACATTTAAATAAATTATTTTTTAAGAAATAAATCAAAATTCTGACCATTTTGGTGGTGTTGTTGTCTGCGTATGTGTATGAGTAGCACAATTCTAGATCTAGGAAAGCTTAGTTAAAAATAGACCACTTAATCAAAATTAACTGCTTGGATTTAGAACTTAAGGTCGCACTTGGACGAAAAATACTGCGAAAACATTGTCTTATTTTCAGTGACCAGCTAATGTGAAATGACAATAGACTAATTAAGCTATTCAATTTTATTTTTGAGTAATTTTCTGTTATTTTCTTAATCTTTAAGGGTTGGAAAATAATAACCTTCTTAAACAACATTTTCCGGCGAGTTAGAAGAATAAAGAATTCTTGTCGTGTATAAGGTTCTTCAATCGACAATGCATAAACGACGTGTTTATAGTTGTTGAAAAGATGTCTATGGACGACAAGTTAACATCGTCCAAGCATTCCAAGTTCATATGCCAACCAGCCCTACATAAAAATGGTTTAATATACTTATCTTTGCCCTTACACGGAGTAACCAATTGGCAATAAAATACCCATAAAATCACTACAATCTTCAATTTTATGTATTTAAAAAAAAAAAAAAAAAAAAAGTCAAACATGTGCATACCAAAGTTTGAAGTAGGATAAGCACTTTAAGGTAATAGGATGATGAAAATTAACATTTACATGGTTCAAATACCTTGTTGGCCCAAGTAAAGTTTGTTTTGATGATTGACAAAGAAATTCAAGCATGAACCAGGTCCATGCACAATGTACACAGACACGAACAGATTCGAGCAGAATGCATGCAAGTGAAGGAGATAAGCTTAAGTGATTATATCTGATATCTCCTTAACGAAAAGGTTGCATAAGTGATAAGGAGAAGGACTCCTTACTCGAAGAGAACTCTCTCCTATATAAGGGAAGAGTTAGAAGTTGAAGATAACTAGAACTCTTCCACCAAGGAAGAGTATAGCATTATAACTCTAGTTATTTCCTATTCTACTAACTCTATATATTTTAGGATGTTCTCAATTTATATTGATGCACAAGCGCTAAAGTTAAACGTGAGTTGAGAGCAAAATAACAAGGCATTTTGCAAGCAGTTCGTGTGTGATTCAAGTGTGCAAATCTGAAGCTACATGAACAAGATTGAAGAACCAGTTCCAAGTGTTTGTATTATATTCTAGTTTCATTGTAGTAGGGCTTCTGCATTGTGCCTTTCAGCTTTATCTAGAAGCAATTGTACTAGGTACTTTGAGTGTTGTATTCAAGTTAGAGTTAACTTGAAGTTGCCGCAACAGCTAGAGGCTGGTTGCCACAAAGGGTTAGAGGTAATCCTTAGGTTTACAAAGAGTTTTGTAAATGCTGTTTTTTGCACAGTGATTTAGTGGAGTGTTGGAAAAAATCCTACTAGGTAATAGGTCGTGGTTTTTTCACCTTTTGAGCCAGGTTTTTTCCACGTAAAAATACTTGTGTTCATTACTTTCCGTATTTATTATTCTGCAACAGTAGTATAGGGAACACATAGAAGAACCAGATCCTTCTATAATTTGTGCACGCAAAAAATTGGACACCACACAAATCATCCCCTCCTCTTGTGTGGTATTGAACTATAAAACCTCAATTGGTATCAGAGCGGGTTATCCTTGAAAAGGCTAACACCTTAGGAGAAGATCAAGATAAGTGCACCACCTATAAACTGGGAAGGGCAATCTACTGCCAGGCTACAACTCTTTAATGGCAAGTACGACTCCTAGTGGAAAAGCAGAATGAGAGATCACATTCAAGGAGAGGACTATGAGCTATGGGACATTGTTACTGATGGTCCACTGGTTAACTTGAAGACAAATGCTAAAAAAGTAGATGTGCCAAAGACAAGAGCGGATTGCGCAACTGAAGACTTGAAGAAGTGGGAGAAGAATGTTAAAGCCAAGAAATGGCTTGTTTGTGGACTTGGTCCAGATGAGTTGTAACGACCCGACCGGTCGTTTTGAGATTTTGCACTTTGATCACCAGTTCTCGGGCATGACTTGCCCCGTGTAATGTGTTATGCCTAATGTAGATCGTTGGTTTTGGTTTTCACGGAAGTTGGTATGAATTTGAAAGAACAGTCTCAGTTGAAAGCTTTGAATTTGAAAGGTTTGACCAAGAGTTGACTTATTGGTATATGAGCTCGGATCGGAGTTTTTATAGTTTGGTTAGCTTCGTTGGGTGATTTATGACTTAAGAGTGTGATCGAAATTGGTTTTGGAGGTCCGGTGAAGAATTAGGTTTGAATTGGCGAAGTTAGTATTTTAGCGATATCCGGTTGATAGGTGAGATTTTTATCCGAGGATCGGAATGGAATTCCGAGAGTTGCTGTAGCTTCGTCGTGTTGTTTGTGATGTGTGTGCAAAATTTCAGGTCATTCGGACGTGGTTTGGTTGGGTTTTTGATCGAAAGCGTATTTCGGAAGTTTTTAGAAAACTTAGGCTTGAATTCGATGTGAATTGATGGATTTGGTGTTGTTTGAGGTGTTTAGACGACTGGAACAAGTTTGAATGAGGTTTTAGGATGTGTTGGTGCTTTTGGTTGAGGTCCCGGGGGCCTCGGGTGAGTTTCGGGTGGTCAATCGGACCATTTTTGGCTTTGAGAGTTGCAGAAATTGCTGTTCAGATGTTGCAGAGAAATTGGCCTTCGCGATCGCGTGGGGCCTGTCGCGATCGCGTAGAAGGATTTTGGGCTGGCCTGAGTTTGGCCTTCGCGTTCGCGTTTGGGGAATTGCGTTCGCGGAGGGCTTTGGCCTTGTGCTTCGCGTTCGCATGCAGAGTTCCGCGTTCGCGTATAAGGAATTGTGACTCAGAGATGATTACCCTTCGCGTTCGCATCTGGAACCTCGTGTCCGCGTGGGTTGGAGAGTTGAAGCATCGCGTTCGCAGTGCTTTGGTCGCGTTCGCATAGTATATTTTTGGAGCCTTGGAATTTTGCCCTTCGCGATCGCAAGGCTTGGGCCGCGATCGCGATGAAGGAATACAGAACTGGGCAGAAAGTTATAAAATATTTCATCCGCGATTTTGAGCCATTTTTTCCACCATAGTTGATCATTTTGAGAGCTCTTTGAGGGAGATTGAAGAGGGATTCAAGGAGAAGTGATTGGAGCTAAGATTTATGAACCTAAAACGTGATTCTATTGTGAAATTAACCTAGAACTTCATGGAATTTAAGCTAAAAATGGAAGAACTAGGGCTTGGGATTTTGAACTTTTGAATTGGGATTTGAAGGACCATTTGAGGTCGGATTTGAGAACTTTTGGTATGTATGAATTCGTGGGAGGATAAGGAACCCGTTAATGTGAAAATTTCTGAGTTTCGAGAAGTGGGCCCGGGGCTCGGGTTTTGCTAATTTTGGAATTTTTGATATTTTTCGATTGTTTTCGCTTGGGCTTTGTTCCCTTAGCATATTGTGACGTGTTCGTTCTGATTTTTGATAGATTCGACGCGTGTGGAGGCCGATTTGAGGAGCAAAGGCGTCGCGAGCTAGAGATTTAGCCGGTTCGAGGTGAGTAATGATTGTAAATGATATCCTGAGGGTTTGAAACCCCGGATTGCACATCGTAGTGCTGTATTGAGGCGAGACACGCGCTGGGTGATGAGCGTGGGGTCTTTTACTGTTGGGGATCGTGACTTGGTCCGTCCCGATTGATGATTTTACTGCATATTTGACTGAAACTTATTTGTTATCATTATAATTTGGGCTGATTGCCATATTTGGGCTTCGTGCCAATTATTTGAATCCCTTCGGGGATGGCTGTTGATATTTCCTCACTGTTTTGATTTTATACTTGAAGTCAGTCATGTATTTTCCACTGTTTTCAAAACTCAGCCAAGTTTATTTTGCTTTAACACTTGAAATGATATTTCCAATACTATTTTTGGGCTGAGCATCGAGTCTTACCGTTTCCCGAGGGGCCTATGGGATTTTTGGCTGTGTAAGGCCGAGGGCCTGTGTTGTGAGGATACTTTTGGATCGGGCTGCATGCCGCAACAGTGTTATACTGATACTGATATGAGGCCGAGGGCCTAGACTTGATGCCGCGAGATGGCTTGATATTCCGCTTGGGCCGTAAGGAGCCCCTCCCGGAGTTGCACACCCCCAGTGAGCGTCGTCGAAGATAAACGGATCGGGCTGCACGCTGCAGCGATATATGGATCGGGCTGCACGCCGCGGTGGTACCGGTACTGTTCTATGTGTTTACTTTATTTCATTTGTCTGCCATTCTCTGTTGTCTGTGCTACTTCATGAAATATCTACCTGATTGCCTAGCATTATATGATAACGGAGTGTTGTGCCCGAGGGGCGGATTTCTGTGCTTATCTGCACTATTTGTCCTGCATTCATTTGCGTAGCCGCTGAAAAAGTAATTTCCAAAAGAGGTTTAAACTGAGCTAAGATGTTTTTCTAAAGATTTCACAGCTTCACTGCTTGTTCTAAGAGGGTTTTACACTGCTCTATACAGCATGATGGTTTGTTTTACGTGATTTCTTACTGCTCAGTTATTATTTACCTTTATTACTCACTGAGCTGGAGTACTCACTTTACTCCCTGCACCTCGTGTGCAGATGCAGGTATTTGTTCACCCGGTAGCGGGTTCTGAGCTGATCGGAGGCTAAGTTATCGGAGTTTAGCGAGGTGACTGCCAGTGTTCGCAGCACCACATTTCTTCCTTTTGTCTATCAGACCTATTTTGTATATTTCAGGCCTTGTAGTAGTATTTATACTCTA